CATCACACCAAACACGAAGAGCTAATTGACGTTTTGCGCAATGTAAAGATGCTTAACTGCAAGGTCACCGAAATCTCACACTCTTGTCGTTAAGCGGCTGGTCTTCAATGAGCTCTGAATTACGAGTGAGGCACGCAAAATATTTTTCCTATTACAACCTAACTGAACCAGAAGAAAAAAAAAGGACAAGAAAATAAATGCTTCTTAATTCTGCTTTACGTGCCAAAGCCACCAAGGGCAGAGGAAGGAAGTTTCAGTGTCAGAGTGCACTTCTAGAAGTTTTCTTATGCACTATCTCCCCCTCCCCCCCACCCCCACCCCACCGCCTCAATCCTTACGGTAAAGTCAGTTTCTTTTATAATACAAATCAAGTTGATGGAGTCTCGTGTGCACTGGTTTATCAAAATTCTACTGCAATATGAAGATATTAAACTAATCCTTCGGCCTCACTAAGGCAGGAAAATGATTAAGGTATCGACACCGGCTTTCTTTCGTTTACCGGCAACGTAAAAGGCACCTGGAAAAAAGTATGTCTGGCGCAGCCACTGGAAGCATCGATGTTACCACGAGCCATGCCGTAAAGAACTGATAACTAGAGCCACATCAATATTCGCCGTGGTATCTTATAGCATGTATAGGGTTGAGCTGATAGTGTGAGGGCACAAGTTCGAATCACAGTCCCGGTGGCTGCACTTCGAAGGAAGTGGAATGTAAGGAACACCCATATGGTTATATGTATTCGTCCATGGTGAAGAATCTATAGGTGGTCGAGATTAATACGGACTCCTGCACTACGGCGCCTCATGTTACAATGTCATTCTGGCACGCAAAGTTCAGTAATTATTATTAATAATAATATTAAACTACATGGATTTTTTACATGAATATGAATATACGTGCGCCATTCTGACTCCATTAAAAATCGGCAACAATACGGGGCCGAACCCCAAACTCAAGCTAAGGGACGGGATACCATATCCACTGGGTATATACTGCATGCCGAACAAAATATTCTTTTTAGTCAAGTACTTTATCATCGTTATTATGATGTTACTAGAATTTCCAGAGCCAAAGGGAAACTAGGCCTCACCATACTATTTCCTATTACCCGGTCTTACGCGGGCTGTTTACATCTAACGGCTGCCAACTTCCGCATTTAATTTTCTGCAGCCACACTCGACTCCGCTTCCACTGCCTTAGGAGAACTTTTATTACTCTAGTCTAGTTCATAACCAAAGAAGAGAGTTTCTTTAGGAGTGTAGCCTTTTTTTTTTTTTGCCTCGGGTAGTTTGAACTGTAATTAGCATAATCATGACCGGTATAAGCGCTCGCTCCGTCCTTCTCTTCATCTTTTGCTTCACTCTCACAACCAGTTCACCGATTTCTTTTCCCTGAGGGAATGCAGCAACAACGATGGACGAGTTTATCACGTCTCCAAAGATGGCATAACATCACGTCACTAGTACCACGACTAAACTCGCGTAACATCACGCAGCAACAACTGACTTGACTAAAAATTGCGTAACACCAGGAAACTACTAGTGGCACGACTAAAATCACACATTTCATAACAACTAGTAACGTGACTAAAAGTGTCGTAACAACTCATAACTAGTCCCGTGAACCAAATCATGAGACATCTCTTAACAAGTAGCCCCGTAGAATGTTTCGGAAATAAGCCATGTGCTGGTCACGTCGCTAGTATATAACATCCCGTAATAGCTATACAAATGCGGCATGTTCCTCCGAATTCCACGTAACATTTGGCCACGTGACTAAAGTCACAAAGCATCAACTTACAATTAGTCACATGGCTAAACTCACGTGACGTAGTGTTACAGCTAATCATGTGACATGTTGCCGAATGTGGAAGGAAAAACCTGTCATAAAGACTAAACAGAAATTACACTTTCAAGCGCGAAGCTAGCAAAAAGTCCACGTAGTGCACGCGAGTAGTCGAGTGTGTATGAAGCCCGGCTACCGAGTTCAACATGTGCGAGGGGAAGCGAAAATATTAGAGGGAGAGGTTGTAGCAAAAAAGTGGGTGAGAGTGGTCGAAAAGGAGGTTGCACACTTGGTTGGGAGACTGTAAACCGTACAGTACGACGAGAAAAGCTCAGGCAAGACAGACGCGTTGCAACGACGTGCTGCAGGAACTAATAGCGGAGGCCATGGTCATTATGCATCACTTCACTTTGCCACTCCCAGAGGGCAGTACCACACCACTGACCAATAGCATGGGGAGAAGTCTGAGACACAAAAGGTGAGCTTGTGAAACCTCCAGAATCTGTGACGATGGTATGGTGGATATGCGATACTGCCCGGCCTCTCTTGTCTGGAACCGAGAGGTAACGGGTTTGACTCCAATCGGCGGAACTTTTTGGGTTTGTCATTTCATCGTGTGCAGTTTTTTTCAGTCATTTTAATTACGGAAATACGTCTCTGAAGTGTTGGTAGACCATGGCGTAAAACACATTTGTGTTAAACAAATACAGTGCTCCTACGCGTATGCACATACAGGATACACTGAAGAATGGCTCACACGTCACGCGATGATGCCAAGAAAAAAAGTACTGTTTAGCAATTCAAAAGTATGTTTCGTAAATGGCAGCAGGTGCTTCATTACAAAATGTACATATCGCTGCAAATGAAGTTTGTGGATCTGATCGCGAACAAAATAGTCGCATGTTATTCATACTACAAGTCACCTTAGAGTTTTTGTGGAAAAGGTGTGTGGTTGTGTCACTGCTTCACAGGCGTCTTTTCTTTCCCGTCCCTGTTTTTTGTCGCGCTATTATTCATTTAAGATGAAAGTACGCCAACTTGCCCAATTGTCCCCTCTGATCCTTCTAGTCGGCCGGTTTGTATCATGGCGATGAACTGTTGTAAGGCTTGGAAGAGTTCACAGGCGATCTGAGTCAATGTGGGGTGATGTGCCTTGCTAGTTAGACTGAGTCTCGCAGTTTGAGAGCAATGTGACAAAATTCAGCCAGATCAACGGAGGCTCAATGTGGACGATCTAAATCACCATAAAAAAACTAAAGTCCACAAAAGCAGCACTATATATGTTGTCCCTCTTTTACTAAAACAACAGATATGGCTGTATGAAGGAGGATTCTTCCGCCAGGAATTTAAGTAACCTCTCGCATTGAAAGCTAGACTTTCCGCTTTTATAATGGCGCAACAAATGCCCACCCGACGCGTTGCGCAGTTGATGCTGGTGACCTTTTCGCACCGATAATATGTGTTTGGCAATCGCTGGCAGATGTGCGAAGGTCGCTGATCTTCGCTTTGCCGGAAGATGCAGAATCAGCTCGAAGACCATGCATCAACAAAGTAAACACTTTGACGGTCCACTCAAGATTCATTTCAGGAGCTGTAATAAAAGGAAGAGGGCAAGAAAAAAATTACCTTTTTAGGTTACGGAAGTATCTCGAACAGACACCAATGCCAACTCAGTTTTTTTTTCTGGCGTAGCTTTTCTCAATAAACAGCGCTAGCAGACATATCTCCAGAAAGGAAAAGCGTTCTGTGCGAACGAGACCGATCAGAAAGTCCATGCAAAAATGTGGCACACTTCGACCCCGTGCGTTGGTAAGAGTGGCATTCCCAAACATGTTCTTGTGGTTACGATAGAATACGTTTGTGTCGCATTACTGGCCCAAGCGAGTGCGTCCGGTCCTGCTCCTGTGGTTCAGATAAACTCCGGTCTTGTATCAGGTCTGCAATTTGAACAAGGTGGCAAGATGCTGGACGCGTACCTTGGAATACCCTATGCGGAGCCACCTGTTGGAGACCTCAGATTTCAAAAGCCAAGACTTGTCACGGCGTGGACCGGAATCTACAACGCGACTGCTAAGCCGACACCTTGTCATCAGGTGCCAGTGCCTTTACTCGGACTGACCAATTTGAACTACACCAGGGCATCCGAAGACTGCTTGTACGTCAACGTGTGGAAGCCATCCCAACGTAACTGCTCTGAGCAGAGAAACTGCACCACAGAACTGCTTCCAGTGTTCGTGCATATCCATGGAGGTGCCTTTCAGTGGGGCGACTCGGCGCTGTTAGTCTATGATCCGGCGAACTTCGTGGCCCTGACAAATGTCGTCTATGTGACGTTCAATTACCGCCTGGGATTCTTCGGCTTCTTGTCCTTGGAGACGCCAGATATGCCGGGTAACGTAGGCCTCTGGGACCAGAACATGGTGCTAGAGTGGGTGCGCGACAACATTGCGAGCTTCGGAGGTGATCCCCGTGAAGTTACCCTTGGTGGACAGAGCGCGGGTGCGACATCGGCAGCCCTACACGCAGTGTCTCCGCACAGCAGGTATCTCTTCAAGAGGTTGATCACGCAGAGTGGGTCTCCGCTTTCCATGGTGTTGAACATCTTCTTCAGGGGCGAAGGTAAATTTATTAACATTGCCGCAACGCTGGGTTGTTACGACGTAAAGATCGCGTTTACGGAGCAGCGTAGTAAGGTCATCGACTGCCTTCGTAAACTCGACGCCAGCTTTATCATGCGTAAAATCGAAAGCCTCGACTTTTTGCAACAACTTTTCTCCCCCGTCGACAGGGACGAATTCCTGCCCTTATCGATTCTGTCGCCGGAGCCGTGGAAACAACTGCACGTTGAGGACGTTCTGCTGGGAACCACCACTGACGAAGGAACAATGTTTTTCAACTTTCTCACCGACTCGTTTCCTCAGGCATCCGAAGTGTTGGCCACGCAGTACAGGACCGTATCGACAGTCGTTATATCGCAGGCCATGAACGTTCCCGTTGCGACTGCGAAAGAAATCGTGGCTGCATACTTCGGAGGACACGAAGTCGAGCACAGCTTCGACGAAGTACGTGACACTATATGCGACATTTTCGCTGATGCTGTTTTCAACTGCCCTACGCAGCTGTTTGCCGACAGCGCGGCTGAGCAAGGAGTTGGGACGCACCGGTACTTGTTCGCTCACAAGTCAACGCACAGCTTTTTCCCGAAATGGATGGGTGTGGCACACACCGAAGACCTTTTTTACACCGTGGGATCGCTACCATTCCTGAAAGACAAAAGTCGCTACACCGATGTTCTCGGAACTCTAGGAAAGAAGTTCTTGGCCACTCAGGATTACACAAGCGAAGAAGAGGAATTCATGGAGGATGTTGTCAGCGCTTGGGGTGCTTTTGTACGAACTGGGTAAGTGCTTACAATTTCCTTACTGCATTTTTCGCTCATGTATTGGTTGACCTACCGGGTACGTAAATAAACATGCCTATGATAATGCTGAAAAGTAAGCGCAATGTCTCGAGGTGTATACACATGTAGCAGCCTGTTTTCCTATTTTTAAAGTTGAACCTTCATGGGAAAACAAAAGCTTACAATGGCAAATATGCGCCTTGGCACACCTCCTACTTATGACAGAAATACTGAATATAGTATCAAGCATTCCTTTTTAAACTCCCAATGTAACGCAGCTTTCACGACTTCAACATATTAAAGTATCTTCAGTCGCCGAGGTATTGTAAACTAGCCATGGCATGCTAATGCAGTTAGTTGCCCAGTTCATGGAGTATTGCGCCCAAGTGCATCAATTGCCAAGTAAAGTATTTAGGCTCGTTCTTCAGTATAACGCTCGTCGAGATCAATCACCTCCTTGCAACAACACGACTTCAGAGTTACAACGTTATATATACAAAAATTGCATGACCACTACCGCCACATCCGCGCGCGCATCTCACGGCCGTGACACGGCATAACGCTACAATTCCGTCATTACGCTGGCTTCGTTCTTTTATTGCCTGCTTTGCAAGAAATTTCAAAGCATATTGCCTAGAGTGTTAGAAGAGGGAGAAAGCGGAGATATCAGAAATGTACCTAAAACACGTGTATATGTACACTATACTTAGCGTATTGCTGAAGTAGCGAAGGTATCACGAGGACCAATAGCACAAGAAATTTGCACAAAACTCTGAATATTCGCAATAATTTCATTTGACTAACAATGCCGTATATGCCACATGACATATATGGCATTGTTAGTGAAATAGAATGAAACAAGCTTTTTATTTTTTTCTACGTTTTTGACAGAGACCAGCTTTCATCAGCGAAAAAGTTTTTTTTTTTGCTCGATGAAAGGCCGGTCTCCGGCTGAACCGTCGGAAACACTAAATGTTTGTGGCGCATTCAGGTGATAGCACTCCAAGAAAAAATCGAGCAAAAAAAAAGGCTCCTTTTTGTCCCACACCAATAATTGTCATTTACCTTGCGTTATTTCTCTGATTTATCGCCGCGCGCCTGGTACATTCCGGTATACCAAACGGCACGCGTGTTATCAGCGTGACATCGCAGCACGTTTGATAGGCAAGTGACCTGCGCCGAGTTTTCAAGAAAGGAAGCATAGGCAAACTGGATTATGATTTGTTGTCGAACAAAAAGACAACTCTTTTACTCGGTCTTTCTTTAGAGTGTAGGACAAGGCATGTGAAGCTCAGACACTTTAACAACACGCTGATGAGGACAACAGCCAGATAAGACGCATTGCTAGTGGCCTACATTCATACAAGGAGTGGAAAGTGTAACATTTGATTGATATGTGAGGTTTAACGTCCCAAAACCACCATATTATAATGAGAGACGCCGTACCGGAGGGCTCCGGAGATTTCGACTACCTGGGGTTCTTTAACGTGCACCCAAATCTGAGCACATGGGCCTACAACATTTCCACCTCCATTTAAAAGGCAGCCGCCAAAGCCGGGATTCGAACCCGCGACCTGCGAGTCAGCAGCCGAGTGCCTTAGCCAATAGACCACCGCGGCGGGGCTGGAAAGAGTAACATAACAGTTGCAAAGTTAATATACTAAATTCAAATTAGGAACTTAAGACTAGTGCCCTTGCAGGACAGTTTTCTTAAATCATCTTATACGGTATGCTGATCAACACCCACAAGCCTAGCTTACAACCCCATTGAACGTCATGCCTACTCACGCCTCTGAATTTACGTCGTGCCCGCCGTTGTGGTTGTGGAGTTGGGACGTTCAACCCTACAAATCAATCAATCAAAGAACGCCGAATCGTGATAAATCCACTAATGTGAACCCCAAACTTCAGACTACAAACATTGCATCGCTCCCTTCTTCTTCTTCTACCATCAGATTTATGTATGATATCACTTTCTTTCCTTTTACCTACTGAATGAATAATAGCGTAGCGCTCTTGCGTTACAATCTTGTGTTCAAGCCAATTTAGGGGAAGCTTCATTATCAATGATCACTCCAGGAAACCTACCATTCCACGTGCCGGTGTGACCTGGCCTTCATATGGCGTCGATAAACGTCGGATGCTTGTGTTAAAACCAGGAAACTTCAGCGTCATCACCGACATGAAAACGGAGCGCTGTGCCCTTTGGAGGCCAATTCTTTACAGGAAGTGAGTATGACTGAATACATTTTTGGCATCTAAACATCTGCGATAAGACATTTCCATAATTCTACTTATAGTAGTAAGAGTCTATACATGTCACTATATTTAGCAAACATGTTTTTGACGGGATCGTTCCGCTTAGTGTCCCTCAAATTTAAGCCATGTTACTCATTTAGCTCGTTAGGCTGTTGGATACAATGTCGTTATCCAAGTGCTCTGAATAATCCACTCCTAGTCAAAATGACGTATTTCATGTCTATGATAAAGTGTTATGAACGTGCGGAGAAGAGTATGCTCTAGTCGTATATTTTGAGATACGTTACTCAGTAAGTGCTGTGACATCAGCCTCACAATTCTGTGCGATCTGAATTATTCTGGAAGTTTCCTTGCTTACTGATATGCTAAATGGTGTCCAACCTTTCTTTCATGAGCTCCGTTAACCAGATTACCAACTAGCTCGGCCTAAAAGTATGCTGTTACCACTTTCTCGTGAGTAGACAATATGCAATGGTGGTACACTTCAGGATCGGAAATGTGGTGCTACCTGCTTTTTGGCTCATTAGATAATGTAGGTCAATGCGTATAAGCCCTTGTATGCCTGGGAAAACAGATTTCGTATGTCATGTGCAGTATTTGCACGTGCCATTTAAATATATTGAACCTGTCAACAGACAAAAAAGGTTCACTCGGCATCAAAAAAGGAGACATTCATAGTTCTGAAAAAAGTTTGAAAGTTCCCAGTAACTTGTGATTCTATTTGTTAAAACTGTATAGTGTTGTGTAACTCTTCACAGTTAGCGCGTCTCAGAACTGGACGTAAATCTAAAATCAAGATAGCCTGCTTGCCCAATAAGCGGCCTTTTTCAGCTTTTTTTCTCGTTTCTCGCAAGCTCCAAACATTTAACGCTGGTTGCACGCGTAACCAGTTTCACTGATATGCCACAACCTACCCACGTCGAGTGTGGCCGCTTTTTCAGAAAACTGTTATCGAATTACTACAACAGCTGTTTTTGACCCCGCAGCTGTCTGCTGCCACCCCCGCCACCAGTGTAAGTAACATGTATCGCGTGAAATGAGTGAAAAAAATGAAATAAAAAATAACCATGACAGAGTGGGACTCGAACTCAGGCCATCCCCGTGGCTTTCAAATATTTTGCTACAGGGCTACCCCGATTTTTAGTTTTCTTTTATTGTCTATTATTAGATGTACATGACAGCATGAAACCATCGCAAATAGATACGGGCTCCATAGCAGAAGAAATCGCGTCAGTATGTGTAATATAGCGCAGGAAGATAGCAAAATAACAAGCGGGCGTCACATAACACGAATTACTTAACTAGTGGGTCGTTTAATGCTTTCAATGCATTACAAAGGACTAACGTATCACTCTTCATTGTGATCAGCCACCGGATCAACAAGTGCACCTGATGCCTTACAGATGTGTAGCGGGTACCTCGCTTCCACGCAAAATAATGAACGCTGTCGTAGTCAGCGCTTCTTCGCCTCACAATGATCGTGATAATTCATGGCGTTGTGGGTACCCGGCATGTGTAGTTGTATTAGTTTCCCAACAGAGTTTACAAAAAAGCTTTACAAAGGCCGCTGCTCCAGCTGTCGCTGCGACTCTGCAGCCCGTTTTACGCAGGTTTGGTGATTCTATGAATAGGTATTTGGTCGCCATGACTATCCTTCAAAGCATCACTGCTTGATGACACCACGTGCACCAAGGGAAATCAGAGTGGCCAGGGTGTAATTAGCACCTTATACACCTTGTTACCACACGTTACTTGTTCGCTAAGGTACGGGGAGAACGGATAAAGTTTCCTAAGATATTTGGTTAACATTTATATGACCTGAGTTCATTTTCTTTTACTCATTACAGTGATGCACATGATGGCTCCACAAAGAGTCACACCACGACTCCCGAGAGCATGAAGCAACAGGACCCGAAGTCACAAAAGACAAAGCCTGATTACAGGAAACCAGGAAACAACGGATCATCGTTTCACCAAAACTTTCTCACGATATTCTTCGCGACGCTGTGGGCACTCATAACACGCCCCTCATTGATTTTGTACAGGAACTAGACCTAACTAGGTGTCGTCGTGTCACCGAAGCACAAGAACACTCCGAAGGGCTCTGCTTTAAACTAATAAAACGTCACAGTTCCTTTAGAAAAAAAGCTCAGAAGAATATAAATGTCAAAGCCTATAGTCCATCATTAAATCGTTTTTGATTTTTTAGTCGATTGCCAATCAACATATAGTTTCATCCCACTCACTGTGTAAATTCTTGTTTAAATGCAGTTAACCACACATTAAGTACCTAGCTTGCACTCAAAATGCCTGTTCTCATAATAATTACAGCTATGACTCGTTTGAGTCTTTCGGGGATATTTTTGCTTTATAAGGGCGCTATAGTGTGGTGCATCATCTGCATTATCTGCAGGCCATGTACCACAAGAAGAATAATAGAAACAGCTGAGTGCATTCTATAAAAGCTTTAAATACAAGGCACAATAAAAGACAGACAACAGGAATAAAAAAACGGAAAATCACTTTGCTTGCCATGAAAGGCAGCGAGTAGAAATAAGAAGAAAACTCGCTTTGCTTTTGGTAGGAGCTGTCACAAGTAATCTGCATCAGCTGAGTGTATTATCACAATTTCACTGCATGCATTGCTGCAACTTACGGCGAACGTTAGTTGTGATTTAAAATGCTCGCTAACTCAGTTATAGCATCGCTTTCTTTAAAGGAAGATGAAGGCCTTTTTTTCTTTCACACACAAAAGAAAATGAGTTTCACACAAAGAGTCGCATAACTTGAATAGCCTCTCACATTCCCGTAAGTGCTCGTAAAGTCTCGACAATCACAGTTCGCAGTAACCATATAATGATAAAGGAAAACCATGTCAACGTTGTCGTTCACGGTAATATTCACACCTTGATGTGGCGGGAAGGAGGAGGGGGGGGGGGGAGACGTGTATGCTCTGCATCTCAAAAGTCGCTGATTATTAAGATGCCAGCGTATGTGCACTCTGGGTGACTGGAGCACAGTTGTTCCTCATCTTGCCCACATTATCTTCCATTTTCTCACGACGAACAGCTATGCCAGGAAACAGAGAAAACTGCGCCAACGACGATTAACATGTTTGCCGTAAAAGGCCCACAAACTGCTGGTTACCGTCATGTCTCCCCTACAATTGTTACGCGCTATTCGCAAAAAAGTGAGCAGGCAAACATTACGGGTAAACAGTGGGATCGTCATATGGAGATGTTTCAATCGTGGGCTGTCTAACCCTACATCTCTCTTTTCACGTGTGAAACTGATATAGGTAATATAGCTTAGTCTTCAAGAGGCTCATCGCGAGGGAGACAAATGTTCCATAATACTGCCAGTGGCTTTATAGGTCGACAGACAGACAGACAGACAGACAGACAGACAGACAGACAGACAGACAGACAGACAGACAGACAGACAGACAGACAGACAGACAGACAGACAGACAGACAGACAGACAGACAGACAGACAGACAGATAGATAGATAGATAGATAGATAGATAGATAGATAGATAGATAGATAGATAGATAGATAGATAGATAGATAGATAGATAGATAGATAGATAGATAGATAGATAGATAGATAGATAGATAGATAGATAGATAGATAGATAGATAGATAGATAGATAGATAGATAGATAGATAGATAGATAGATAGATAGAAAGAACTGCACTAGTAAAATTCTTTCTATAAAGGCTTCGTCGAAATAATCTGCGGGGGTCATAATAAAACGTAAAACTGCCCTTATATACAGGACACAAGAAGAAAGGAATGGAGGGCACCAGCGCAGTGTTGTCTGTTAGTCTGCGCTGGTCCCGCCCACTTCTTTCCTGTTGTGTCCTGCATTTAGGCGCAGGTTTATATTTGCCATGACTTACCAGTGAGTACCCTCCCACTCCACCTCCCCCCAAACGCTCTGACGATTATGTGCCGACACGGAATATTGTGCACACCAGAGAAATTCCGACATCGTGTAAACATGACGACAAGCAAACGTATCGGTGTCCTCCATGTGCACGCCTTTTGTGGCGCCGTTCCAGACGCTGATGAGCGCTATAGAAAGATGAAGGACGATCAGCCGATGCCACCCAAAAACAAAAAATGCACAACGGAACTCTACGCTCACGCACCACTTAGACAGCTCCCAAAGGAGTCTGCGTGTATTTTTTATTGTTGCTTTCTGTTGATTTAACGTACAATGCGGACTGGTCAGTCAGCTCCGGCTGGGCGCACTGTTGGAGCTACTCTCGGAGCCCACGTATGTTGTAAGGTAACGTGAGTGAATCAGTGAATATTCAGTTCTTGCAGGTTTCCGGGCTGGGTTCCCACCTAGGAGCCGGCTGAGAGATCTTGTATCTGAGCAGCTTCCTTGGCCTACCGGAAAGCCCAGGGTTGATGGTGAAGCCCTGAGCTGAGCGTTGTGCCCCACCAACGCGCCAGAAAGTCCCTGTTGGAAACCGAGTTCCTTTAGTCATTCATGTTATTTAGGACTGAACACTGCCTGAGATTGTGCGTTAGTTTGACCCTATTAGTGAAACACTTGCAACACTCCGTATTACTCAAATCAAGGTAAATGTGCTTCGTAATTAGCATAGGTGCCAGTTTACAGTTGCCGCCGTTCAACGAAGTGGAGCGGTTTAAGTTTGTGGTGGTGCGGATGGTATTCCCGTCACTGAGTTTTATTGTGTTGGGTGATATCGCTCAGTTTTGTCGGTCCATTTCCCTCCTCTCGTTCGTCCCGAAGGATGTCCTTGCGTCTCTCAAAACACCTTTGCACATAAACATGCCTCGACTTCTTTAGTAGCAAACGTGATTGGGACTCCCAGTCATTCACCACCTTTAACCCCGAATGGTTCACTCGCGATAATTCACGGCATAAAGATATTGTTGCGGCATACCAAAGCATAAAACATGGACTAAAACGAAGTTCCAAGAAAGCTATAGCTACGAGCAGTCACATTAACGCTTTCTCGTACCCACTTAAGTTGACTTGCGTGGTTTGAATCTGGAATGTCTAAGGAGAGTGCAACGTTCATGGACATTCTGGGATACCAGTGCGCAAGCGGTATCATTATTTGCGATGACCCTGCCATATAAATACCGACTCTGTAGCCGGGCTTTTTCTACTTCTAACAAGAAGAGCTCTTGAACAAGAGACTCACACAGTAGATGCCAATGATATCCCAATAAAATAAAATTCAATGAATACAACCTCCTTATATCTCAAGCCCTTACGCCACTCTTGAAGCACTGTTTAAAAAAGATTTCCGCTGAGTGAATGAATGAATGTTGTACTGAAAAAGTAATAATTAGGCTACTCTATTTGCACATTCAAGGGTGACTAGATATGATGTATTGCAGTTTTTGACCATTGAAATCAATATGATTAAACCATAACATTTATCGAATATTATTGGCTCAGGCTAACTACAGCTAAAAAAAGTAAATAATAATTAGTTGCGACAATTTAAATAAACCACACAGCTTAAACACTTCATACACATCCCACACATGATGCACCGACAGTCACAAGAACCTGCCCCATGAACGTATACACGCATTGCGTGCGTAGCTCTGAATGCGTGAATACTTATTAGCATCAAGAGTCTGCAAACACCCGGAAGTTATACACGTGTTCGTTGCACGAAAGTAAAAGGAGGAAAGTATACGCTACAGGGCCTTCCAAACAAGACATATGCGGTAAGAAAGGAAACCTAGCGGCTTCCCGGAAATGGAACCTCAGCGTGTAGATAACGATTTAGAGTGTAAGAATCATATCTGTTTGAGATCAAGTCGCGTCTGTCTCGTATTTCTATTCGACCCTCACTTTGACCGCCCCGACGGTTAGTTCCTGTACATCATGTAAAGGTGCGTTCACATTGATTGTCACTATATAGCCTTGTGTTGCCAAAGCTCGCGACGGCATCCGTGACCCTCGCAGTATTACGAAAAGACGAATCAGTGGCTCCGAGCGTGACCTTCCACGCCCAAGGCAAGAAATCGCGTTCAGGTGCACGTGACGGCTTGATCGATAAAGCACGAAGCGCGTCGCGCTCCCCTCGCCACACGCGACTCAAGAAGAAGAAAGGGGATACGCTACCGGTTTTTATTTCGCACTCAAGTAAGAGCGTTCCACTGCACGTGACCAAGGCATTGCTTGGAGTACAACGCTCCGCGAAGGCACCGATTCGCACCTCGTCTCGCCACGATCGTGTCGCACCACAGAACCAAGATGTGGCAAATTATAACCCTTCTACTGGCGGCACGAGTCATCTACGGCACCGAGGAAAGTTTAGCAAAACCTACGCGGCCTGTTATGACCGACTCCGGAGCTATCACCGGTAAAGTCATTACTGTAGGCAACAGGTCGATCGATGCTTTCTTGGGCATACCGTACGCAAAACCTCCCGTCGGAGATCTTCGCTTCAGAAAGCCCGAATACGTTGCACCATGGAATGGAACCTACCAGGCAATAGCAAGAACTCCACCCTGCTGGCAAACTGCACTGCGCTTTATAGAGGACGCTCCAGTGAACTATTCTACCAGTGCTTCCGAGGATTGCCTCTACCTGAACATCTGGAAGCGATCGTCCACTTGTTCTAGTTCGGAAAAGTGCAACGAAAAAAGGCCAGTCGTCGTCTTTATTCATGGCGGAGCTTTCCAGTGGGGCGATTCTTCTCTCTTTGTGTATGACCCGGCCAATTTCGTCGCGCTCTCCGACGTAGTGTTTGTGACTTTTGATTACAGAGTGAGCATTTTCGGGTTTCTCTCTCTCGGAAAGCCTGAACTGCCCGGGAACTTTGGTCTCTGGGACCAGTACCTTGCTCTGAATTGGGTGCGAAAAAACATCGCAAGCTTTGGGGGTGACCCGGATGAAGTGACCTTGATAGGTCAAAGTTCTGGTGCAATATCTGTGGGCTTGCAGGCATCCTCTCCTAAACAACAGGGCCTGTTCAAGAGAGCCGTCCTTATGAGCAGTACTCCACTCTCCCTGATTCTCGGCTTCTCGCACAGAGGTGTGGGCAAATTCATTCACGTTGCAGGAGCATTGGGTTGCTATAATCAAAGCCAAAACGTCGACGAGCAACTCAACAGTGTCATGTCATGCTTACGTAAACTTGACCCGTCGTTTATCATGCGGACCATAGAGACACTTGATCACACCAACCAGGTATTTGTGCCCGAGTACGGTGACGAATTTTTTCCGGAGCACCCATTGGCAGCGAAAACATGGGCGAATCTACCCTTCAAGCAAGTCATTCTGGGTACAACGACCGATGAAGGTACGCTTGTGTTGGACAATATCCAATACTCTTCACCAGCGTTGAAACATATATTGGCCACAGACTACAGGCTGGCAATGACCATTGCTTTGCAGCCCGTTTTCGGTATTTCCGTATCTCGTGCTCGACCTATTGTCGATGCGTACTTCGGAGGACCTGACGTGCAGCACAGTAGTGAAAGTGTAATTAAGATTGCCAGCGAGCTCATCGGCGACGGTGTGTTTTACTGTCCTGTGAAGCTGATGGCAGATGTCGCGGCTCGTCAAGGCATCGACACCTACCGATACTTGTTCGCGCACAGGTCATCGTTTAGTTTCTGGCCTGAGTGGATGGGTGTCACCCATGGCGATGACACGACGTACGTCCTAGGTTCCCTTCCTTTCTTGAAGGACGAAAGTCGTTACACCAAGGCCCTTGGTGACGTTGGAATCAAGAAACTTCGACGACTCGACTACACATCCAAGGAAGAAAACTTCATGCAGCAAATAGTAGCCATCATTAGCTCCTTCGTTGCCACAGGGTAAGTACACACTCATCGAAGTTATTGAAACAGCCGCCTCAGGTTTTGTGGTAGTTGACTGCGGCTTCATGCATTTTGAACGTCGAATGGGTACGAAAGCTGGGACTAACCGAAATAAGTTCACTTCTTGAAATTACAAGTACTGAATTAGTATGCGTTTTATGCCTAAGTAACACTATAGAAGAGTGTAACCTTGTGGTAGGTGATGCTTCTGGGATTGTTTGTAAAATTTTTACTAAAGCTACAAACCTCATTGCTGTAGTTTAGCAACATCGAAACATATAGATTTACAGAAGCTGAAATAAAATTGGTAGCACCACCAGGGAACTCAACATGATAACAACAGCACGAAAAAAGTAGCTCTCCAGTGGAATTCTTTTACGCGCGAGTTGTTATTCTACGCAAGTGAAGGTTTCTGTGAAGTGCTGGCGTATTAACAATCAAGATTTAATGCATGATATTACTTCAAACACGAAAAAAAAAGAACGTAGTCTTTCTGTGTAAAAGTATGAAAATAAAAGTAGAACTTTGCGCGGAAGCCAACATTTCGCCGCTTGTTCCTTTGCTTGAGACATTGGAGGGTTTTTAACTATATCTTCATGTGTGCGGAAGTGTCTAATGATATTCTTACGCTCAGCACGCTGTTTATTTTTTTTTCGTTCCTACCTTCCTACCAGAAAACCTCAGCTTCACGTCTTGGGAAAGGAATGGCACCAGTACAGTCCATCTGATCCTGTTGTGCTCCAACTTCGTCCTGGAAATATTTCCGAAGTGAAAGAAAAGAAAGACAAATGTGAACTGTGGCGACCTCATCTTCTGATGGAGTAATTACTAAAAATTCATCGTTCTGCATATCAAGTGTCAAACAACTTTTGCATAGATCTCACGATGTGTTTAAACACATTATTCATGTATCATGTGCATGATAGCTCATTGCATGTCATAAATTTAAGACACTAAATGATAAACCATGGGCATTAATCGCCGTGTGAAGCAGCGATACAAACAGAAAATATGAGTAATAAAAATTTTCATCTTTGTGTTTTTCCTTCTTTTTTGAAGTTTATTAAGTGTATGACACAACATTAAATTTAATACAGGATACCAGTTTGTACGGCAATAATAAAAAACAGAAGCGAATTGTTTTTTTGGCAATGTTCGAAGAAAATACTTTACTGTTCTATTGCCCCACTGAAAAACAACATATTTTTTCCCACGACTACTTAAAACTGAAGTTTCCCTTTAGAATGTAAGCGTAGTTGTCTTCCATAATTAATGCTGGTGCTTTATGCGCCAAAACCACGGTATGATTTTGAAGCACGCCTTAATTAGAGACACCCTGCGTAATTTAGGCCTCGTAGAGCCCTTTAATGTGCACCTGAATGTAACACACGGGTGTTCGTTGCTTTTTGTCCCCGTGGAAATGCACTCACCGTGACCGAGAGTCAAACACGTGACCCGGAGCTTAGAAGCATCTACGGCTAAGCTACCACGGCAGGTAGGTAATCTTCAGCTTTAAGTTAATCGGATGGCTTGGCTCACTACTTAACAAATGCAGTTCATCGTCTTATAGTAGTAATAATTGTTGTGGTTTAACGTCCCAGAAACACCACATGATTATGAGTGACGCGGTAGTGGAGGGCTCAGGAAATTTTGACCTCCTGGGGTTCTTTAACGTGCACCTAAATCTAAGCACACGGGCTTCAAGCATTTCTGCCTTCATCTAAAATGCGCCCGCCATGGCCAGTATTCGATCCCGCGACCCGCGGGTCATCAGCAGGGTGCCTTATACAATAGGCCACCATGGCGGGTCTCATTGCCTCATAGCAAGAAGTGAGTTAGGGGAGTGAGTTAGTTAGTTACGCAGGCTGCTGAATAATTTCGACCATATAGTTTATTTATGAACTCCTTTTGTGGCATTAGGTATACAAGCACTTTTCGCGCAGCATACCTCCGCCAGAAGTTCACACATAATCGCTTGGTCAATGTCAGGGTTCAGTAGCAGATTAACCTCTATATGTAGTGCCCCATTATTAGAATAGAAAATAGTGCTGAGTTTAGAAGAAGCTGAATGTTTAGAAGTCCCTGATGCTTGTTTCAAGGTGTAAAAGTCAAGCTTCTCTTCGTTAAGAGTGGCACCAACCTTGCGGACGAGCTCAGCTAGGCTTTTGTAGAGAACGGATGAATAATCACAATTACAATGTACACACTCCAGGCACTCGATTCGCTCACTCCATAACATGTTCTTCAAGGAGCACGAATGTGTAATGCGCAAAAGTTGATGCGTAGGCATATAAATTGAGTTTCTTAAAGGGGCCTGACAACAATTTTGCGGCATGATCAGAAAGCGCTGCCGATCGATAATAGAGGCTCCTGAAAACATCTGCGCCAAGCATTGTAGTGCAGCACGTGGCCTGGCATTTCGAATTTGTTTTCAAAGCAGGATATAAATCCCTCTCTTCTCTTGACAAATCAATCCATACACCAAGTCTGTGCCACGAATCCGAATTTAAGCATCGTGAGCTTCACAGTTACCGCGGCCACCGCGGGATGGCGCGACGTGCGCGCGCGCGCACTCGCGGTCAGTAAGACGCGCGGTCGAAAAAAATAAATAAAAAGATAACAAGTTCTCAAGGTCATAAAGCACGTGGCCCTCACAATAGTACTTTTTCCTGCCTCAGTGTCATCCCGGTTTTCCCGCAGTTTTCAACAGGATCGCTACCACTAAAGGTGAGAGAAAGCACTTAGGACTAGACAAACCCTGTAACTCTTGTTGTACTTGACGGATTCTAAAAAAAAAATTGCAGCACCCGATTCGCGAAGTAATAAACTATTTAATTGAAACGGTGCGATGAATAACTTGAAATTGCCTTTCTTTAAACTCCTAATTTCTTGTGAGCAATGAGAGCCTGCCTTACGCATCTCGAGGACCGACATTCAGGAGGCCATTCCAAAGTGGGTAGAAAGGGTTCAGGAGGCCTCCTTCATGTTGGTCCTCCCAACTGTAAGTCCTCCTTTTCCTTTAAACAGCGCGAAATAAAGTTGCTCATTCATTCATCGTAGGGTCTCATTTAATAATTCACTAGAGGACATTCTGGCGCTAGTGTCCATGGAAGCTTCAGTGCTCCCGTAGCCCTTCCACCAGAGTAAGAATCGTGGGCTCCACTGGAATTTGTCTAAGCTTTGTTCTTTGCTACATGTGGTTTTGGGAGTGGTAGTTATTAAGGTTGAAATAAAACACGATGTAATAACTATGACGTACACACAGACATTTTGAATCCACTCGTGTTAAAAATAAGCGACCTATGAAAACCACGGACACAGGAAAACAGGGCAACAGGACAAGTGATACCACACTGCGCGACAACTATTATTCACGGCTCTGTGGAAGCTACAGAGCCAAAACGCATGCCTGCTACCTCACGAAAAAAAAAAAAACGGGGTTTAGGTTTTCCGACACTTTCGCTTTTGACCTTGATGAAACAAATACTGCTTTATTTACTATCAGACTCGAAAAGTTTTGCGATGTCATAGATAAAGTTCAGTTATTCTTCACCTTGCAAGAATGCCTTCACTCTCATTTTCACTTTATTTCTTTAGAGGCCCCATGTGGGGGCATCACATAAGGTGTGGGAGGTAGTTCAATTAAGATGCATGACACTTGACCATTCCGGATGAGAAATGAGCGCTTACAGTTTTTATCAAAGCCTCTGGGTCGGTGATGGCAAATATCAAGAAGCCGAGAAGATGGAAGAGCGGGTGTGGGGACGTGCAACACTTGAGCAATGGCTTGTACGACTAGATATACTTCCTTTTCTTTGCGTTTATTATACAGCCCCAACGTTTCAGCAAGCCCGTTTCCCAAAGTGAAAATGAAGTTCATGACGTATACGTCATGAACTTGATTTTTACTTTATAGTGCGACAGCGTAAGACAGCAAACGCGCTGTTAAGTTAAAATATACTCATAATATTACACCAAAATGTCCACTGAAAAATCTGAATGTTTGACTCATGCAATTTTTCGTGCATATGTTCTTTTCAACGTGCAGAGCAACTGGAATGCGCGAAAGCTCCACTTCCGCAGTCTTGGCTATACACTGTCAGATAAATTGGCCGCTGAGAATAGCCGCTCAACTTTATCTCAAGAAAAAAAAAAGAAAACGTGCTCCACGAGTGTCAGTATTTAGGTTACAAAAAGAGGGAATAAGAAAAAGGTTATTTGGAAGCTTTCCCAGCTGTTACGCATGAAAACATTTGCGTAAGCGCTACCTTCTTAAGCCTCAGTAACGAGGTAGTATACTATGCCAATGCAGGGGATTAGTTATTCGCAATTATATTGCTCTCTTATTTTGTTTGTGATTTTCATGGTGACTCGCGCATGCACAAACTGCAAGGTATTTTTCCTGCAATAAGATTCAGTTGCCAGTCATGCTTTGTCAAGCCGCCTTCTTTTTCCGTGTCTGCAGTGTATAAATCAGGCTTTTGATATGCACTACTACAATATGCGGGCGCCCGTTCTTGGCCTTTTGCTAGCATGGGCTCTAATGGCGGTCACCACCCTCCATGCATTATCAAAAGAAAAGTGAGCGGTTTCTTATACAAACTTCCTCGTCAAAGGCAATAAATTGTGTTTGTCTATACACGTAGAGTCCGAATCCCTACGAGCCAATCAACAGCAAGAAAGCAGCTGCGCCATTTCTTTTCATTTCCCGCTCAAATAATCCACTTTGCTCGTTACAAGGCACTGCGCCAAGTACAACGCTGCACGAAAGCTGTGAGGCACACTCCAAGTAAGCCAGATCTAGGTTATACATGATATATTCAAGATGTGGCAAACGGTACCTTTTCTGCTGGCAGTCCAAGTTTTCTACAGCAGCGAAGAAAGTTTTGCCAAACCTACGCCTGTTGTTATGACAGACTCGGGAGCCGTCTCCGGTGAAGTTATCACTGTAGGCAACAGATCCATTGATGCTTTCTTGGGCATACCGTACGCAAGACCTCCCATCGGGGAACTACGCTTCAGAAAGCCCGAAGGTGTCGCACCTTGGAACGGAACGTACCAAGCTACGGCAAGGACTCCACCCTGCTGGCAGAGAGTGCTGCATTTTATTGCGGACGCTCCGTTGAACTACTCTGCCGTTGCTTCAGAGGACTGTCTTTACCTAAACATATGGAAGCGCTCCTATACATCTACCGCTTCGAGAACCTTCAACGAAAAAAGGCCAGTCGTCGTTTTTATTTATGGCGGAGCTTTCCAGTGGGGTGATTCTTCCCTTTTTCTTTATGATCCGGCCAATTTCGTTGCTCTCTCTGACGTAGTATTTGTAACTTTTGATTATAGAGTGAGTATTTTCGGGTTCTTTTCTCTCGGAAGGCCTGAACTACCCGGTAATTTCGGTCTTTGGGACCAATACCTTGCTCTGGACTGGGTGCGAAAAAACATCGCCGCTTTCGGCGGAGATCCGGACGAAGTGACCTTGATTGGACAAAGTGCTGGCGCGATATCTGTGGGCTTGCAGGCATCCTCTCCGAAGCGCCAAGGTCTGTTCAAAAGAGCCATTCTTATGAGCAGTACTCCACTCTCCCTGATTTTCGGCTTTACGCATAGGGGCGTGGGAAAATTCATCTATGTTGCGGGGGCGTTAGGGTGCTATAATCAAAGCCAAAGCCTCGATGAGCAACTAAACAGTGTCATGTCATGCCTACGAAAAGTGGATGCTTCGTTTATTATACGAACCATCGAGACACTGGATTACACTTTCCAGTCATTCGGACCTGAGTACGGTGACGAATTTTTTCCGGAGCACCCGCTGGCAGCGAAAACGTGGGAGAAGCTTCCCTTCAACGAAATTATTCTGGGAACCACTGCCGACGAAGGCGCTTTCATGCTGGGCTATTTCCAGCATTCTTTTCCGGCCTTGAAAGTGTTTCTGGCAGCAGACTACAGGCTGACAATGACTACGGCTTTACTGCCTCTTTTCGGAACTTCCCTTCCTCGCGCTCGATCTATTGTCAAGGCGTACTTCGGAGGACCTGACGTGCAGCACACAAATGAAAGCATCGTAAAGATTGCCAGCGAGCTCATCGGCGACGGTGTGTTTTACTGTCCTGTTAAACTGATGGCAGAAGTCGCGGCTCGACAGGGGATCAACACCTACCGGTACTTGTTTGCGCACAGACCGTCGTATAGTGTCTGGCCTGAGTGGATGGGTGTCACCCATGGTGATGACACGACATTTGTGTTAGGTTCCCTTCCTTTCTTGAAGGACGAGAGTCGCTACACCGAGGTCCTTGGCGACGTTGCAATCAAGAAACTTCAGCAACTCGACTATACTTCTGAGGAAGAAAACTTCATGCAGCAAATAGTAGCCATCATCAGCTCCTTCGTTGCCACTGGGTAAGTACAAAGGGTTCGCATGTGAGGGATCCAAATGTTTTGTGGTAAGTAACTGCAGCTTAGTTTCATAATAGTATGGCCCTGAATATTGCTATTAAGCCGCAGAAATGCCCGTTGGTAAATTTAAACAACACAAGTAGCTAATACTTGACTATTATTGATGACCCAAATGATAAAAGATGGTAAGCTTGCGAGGTGATGCTCCTTGGACGGTTTCAAAAATTATTGCAAGGAATAAGTTTGAGTGGTTCATCTAGAGAGAATCGAATGAAATTGGTTTTCAGGACCTCGCTTAAGCACAACAGCCATACCAGGTAACTCATGCCACAGCAAAGCTTTATGGTCGAGGTTCGCCGTCTGTCGTAAATAAAAATTATCATCACCATAAGTCAGAACTCGATGTCTTCGTTCTGTTAATCCGCCCATTCTTCCTCTTTGGCTTCGCTTACAGACAAATAAAGATTTTAAAATGCCACATGAAAAGGGCGCAAGCTCTTACTTCTCAGTCAGGTGTACAAAAACGTGATTTTTCAAAGTGGGTTCTGCAAGCCTCTCCTGGGATTTCCGCGAGCCACCGATTAATTTTCTCTAGTTCCACACCAACCAAGTAGAGTAAAAGAGGTACAATCAATAAACGCAATGCCTGCGCGGAAGGCGCATCACAGTCACAGCGAAAGCTACAAGAGCTGCCTTTCAGAGCCTTCTCTATACACTTATTGGGTAACAACGGCATTATTAATACCCACTACGGCATTAATGATACAAATTTCTGTGTAGCAGTCCGGCATTCGCTATGCTATTTTTTTGTATTTTTCTGAGAAGCGTTGTATCCGCTAAACACTTGCAAGGAATTTTGTGCCCAATTGCACATGTAGTGGCTGATGACGATGAGGAATTATGCCTTAAGCGGGTATGCGCAGCAGTTAATATGTGATCGAGAGCAAGCTTTTGAAATGGGATGAAGCATTGGACGACCCCCTCATTACGCTATTCACAGTGTGAGACGCCTCGTTGTTTCTTTGCTGTTCTGAAACGTTTTATGACTCCTATTAACGCAATTACCTTCCCGACACCAAGCCTGTTTAAGGCACGTTCGCAAACAAGTACCAAGAACCAGCGTGGCTCAGTGGTAGAATACCGGGATTTCACTCAGCGGACCCGGGTTGGAGCCCCAAATTGTCGTTGGTGCTTAATTTTGTTTCTAATCTCGTGCGATGTGGTTACAGACACCGGTGATGGCGGTGGCGGTGGACAACAGCGCGTTACCCGAGTTGTGGTCTCATAACAGTTTTCGCTGTAAAAAAAAGCTCTATCACTCTATTACGCCCAAGTGTTCATAAGCACATTTCATTTCATTAAAGAAACGCACGAGTTGCGCATTAAACCCTGCCAACAACTTGTAGCCAACAAGACTTCGAAAACGGGCCATGTGGTTAAATATTGCAGTTGAATGTAGGAGGTGCTATATTACCCCCCTGCGGATTCCTCCTGGTTGGAGGGAGGTGTCAAAGATAAATGAGGGAGCATGCTGCAGTTATTTTCAACAACATGTGCTTCTGAACATGTGTTCTTGGCGCTATAAGAGTGGTAATTTTGTTAGGCACACTTTAAAATTTCGATGGGTCCTGCAAAGTGTCCAATTGTTTATTTGTAAAAGGATCTCAAAAAAGTTCTAAAGTGTATCGAATGTATAATAAATAAATTTTATGAGAAGTCCAGTAGTCACAAATGTATTCATGCTTATATCTGCTTGATGACATAAGTGTAAGGTGTGGTTCCCAGTTGTATTTATATTAAAATGCATTTGATGAAACCCACTGTGAGTAATCGACCAAAATTATTGTAGGTTTATCTCGATACATATCCGAATAGCTTTCGCAGGCACAACAATAAATTGGTTAGCCTTGACCATATTCTTTGGATATACCCCTCGTTTCGAGGCACGGTACAAATCTAACAGCAGAAGTGTCTATCTGCTGTTAAGAGCCCCGATCCTGGGTCGTATATATGGGCTGGCCAGAGGGCCCGTGATGTGGTGGTCGAGCCAGACCTTACTGTCCATATATGTAGGAGCACACCTCGGGCTTTCAACAAAGCTTTGCATCAATCCACTTACCCATGAATAAGCAGCTGTTCAAAAGAGTGCCAAAAACAACTTTCCATGTTTATTAAAAATTTCCGAGATCCTCAGTGTCTCACCTGGTTGCCTGCAATTTCTCTCCATCCAGAAGGCCTCAGCTTCCCGACCCGGGGCAAGAATGGCACCGGTACGATCCATCTGATCCCGTCGTGCTCCAACTTCGTCCTGAAAACATATCGGAGGTGAAAGAAAAGCAAGACAACTGTGAACTATGGCGACCAGATCTTCTGATGGAATAAGTTCTGAAGACTGATAGTATGCGCATCACAAGTCTATTTCCAAACAAGTTTTTAAGTTACGCTCATGCATCACCTGTAGGTTAGTTTGCTGGGTGTCTTCGATTCAGAAATAAAATAAAATAACGAACTACTGGCATTAAACACCATGTCGTAACTTCATGTAGCGCCACAAACGAGAAATGTCTAATACAGCTTCTCTCTACGTTTTCCACGCTTGAAAACTGGTTATACGAAACCACGTGCATGTTAAAATCACCTTATTATTGCTAGTGAGCCCATGTTTCACGCTTATAAGGCAATAACTAACCCAAAAAGAAGTCTTTCTTCTTTCTTCTTTTTTTTTCTTTTAAAGGACACTTGTATAATAAACTACCCTTCACTTCATATTCACAAAAACTAATTTTTTGCGTGCTAATAGACAAGTTTACAATGTCACTCCAGGGTGCGAAACCCTTTGGGTAAGTATACACTTGTAGAGAGAGAGAAAGAAATAAAAGGAAAAGACAAGGAGGTTAACCTAGAAGAACTGGTTTGCTACCTTTGCGGGGGTGGGGAAAAGGGTCGGAAAGAGGATAGAGATAGAGAGATAGAAAATATATTAGAATTTATTTTCTACTTTTTATTATTTTTATACAGCTTGTAATTATACATGAATCCTAGGAGGTGCGGGGGGGGGGGGAAGGGATTTCTTCGCGACATGAGATTCGAACTCGCGTACACATCATTCAAAGGCAAGCGACTAGAAGAGCCCGAATAGCAAGAGAACAGAAATGAAGAGTGAGGGAGAGGATGGATGTCAGGGTGAGAACAAAAGGGTAGAGAGGAAAGAGTAAAGAAATGCAAGGAAACAGCAAAGAAATGAAAAAAGATAGAGCAAAAAAAAAACGAGAAAGGCAGAAAGAAAATTTTTCACCCGGCGTCACTTGGCACCATTGAAACTGCAGCAAAGCCGGTGGCTTACAAAGCCTTCGCTTTGCAGGATCCTTAAACAGTTTGAATGAAGTGGGATTTGACTGCCGTGTGATTTAATGAGGTGAGATGAAGTAGGAATGAAGTGGAATAAGGTGGATGAGTGAAGTTGAAGGAGTAGCGGAAGTAGTAGTGGGTAAAAGTGCTGAGCTTTGAAAGTAGTGGCACTGAGATAAGGCCCATAGTCCCGTGGCAAATATGCGTTTACTATCTACGACGACCCTCGGACATGAAAGGGTCGACTAAAGACAACTTACGTGTTAAAAAAGAAAACAGCCAGGTATCGTTTCTATGCCTGGAGTGATGGTGGCAATGCTATAAAGTATTTTCCCTCGTATTTTGAACTCTACTGTAGCATTTTTCCCCCAGTAAGATACAGAGTTTTGAAGTGAAAGTTGCCACCCTTAATTTTTCCCACAGGTGAATGACTGGAAATTTATGAACGCTCAAGTTTGTCACAAATAAGGCATAGACTCTTAGAATTCGGGCACTAAAATTAATCACGCAGATAAAATGTCGTGAGTAGTGGTACCGTTATCTCAGCCATTTGCCCGAGGTGTTCTCTCAAGGCAACTTAATCAATATCTTTGGACTTTTTTTAAAAATTTTGTTCCAGTCGTTCCATAGTCCAAAATCACTTGTATTCGTGGCGTCTCTCAATGATGTCGTTTATAACCACCACCTATGTTGAAAACTACTTACACACGCCTACCTATAGCTAAAAAAAAAACACATACACAGCCAACCTGCTGCAAGCGTGAGCGACGACCCAGCAATGTCACTCTCTCTACATCGGCATAGAAACAAACTTCAAAGTTCGATGCCACCAAGACTTCTTGAAGGCCACTGAATTTTTTTTGTAGTTTTCTTTGAGCTATACGTAGTTTCCATACCGCCGATCAAAGCAGCCCCATGCCAAACGCGTTCAAAGTAAAAAAAAACACTTCGCGGCGTTCATTTGAATGTCATTCGAAGCGCGTGTATAATTAGGCAAGCCACGCAACGGGCCTGTGGAGGATACTTTTTACTTTTCCTCTTCAGTAGGATCTGGCACACTATTAAAGAACGCTTCTCGCTTTGAGGCAGCTTCTGTAGAGACCTCGGCAGTGTGTAATAACCGTGACGCGTCTTGCCGAGTTTCTGCGGTAAACGTTTGCACCAATTACAGACGCAGAAAAGGAAAGGTCTCTCCCTCCTGTTCTTGTGTGCCACCCCTGTTGGTGCTTCGCAAATGTCTTGACTCGTGTTTTCTTGGTTGGATTATTTTTCAGTACCTCCACAACGTGCAGTGAAACTATACCTACCATCATCCACGTCGACTCCGGGCACTCGAAGAGAGTTCGCTTGCCAGTAACAAGCAGGTTGACGCCTACTTGGGCATTCCGGATGCCGAAACACCCGTGGGTGAACTTCGTTTTAAAAAACCGCGGACCGTTTTTCCCTGGAAAGGGGTGTACAATGCCACGAGAAAACCGAAAGCGCGCGAGAAACTTCCTTGTCATCTGGCTCCTAAGCTGATACTGGATTACAGTGACGCTTCGGAGGATTGCCTTTACATCAACGTATGGAAGCCAAGGTCTGTATGTGTAGAGCAGCGCGCAGGCTGCAAGCAAAAAGTACCCGTATATGTGTTCACTCACAGGAATGGTTTTCAGTACGTTGGCTCTTCTCTCCTCGTCTAAGACCCGGCAAAACTTCGTGGCCCTCACGGACGTTATTGTAGTGGCATGCAACTACAAAGTAGAAATCAATGGCTTTTTGTCGCTAGAGATCCCATAAATACCGGGAGACATGGACCTCTGGGACCAAAACATGGCGTTGAAGTGGGTGCAGAGAAATATAGGGAGCTTCGGCGGTAACCCAAATGACGTCACAGTGGGAGGACAGAGTGCTGGATCAATATCAATAAGACTCTACATGGTCTCTCCTCACAGTAAGGGACTCTTCAAGAGGGCTATTATGCAAAGTGGAAGTCCCTTGTCTATGATAGCAACTATATACTTCAGGGGAGAGGGAAAGTTCATAAGCGCGGCAGGTTCTCTGGGATCCTACGACACGAAAAAGCACTCAAAGAGCAGCTAAAAGGGGGTTGTGTCATGCCTTCGCCAATTAGATTCAAGTTTTATGATGAACACCATGAAGAAGCTTGACTTCGCACAGCGAATGTTTGCGCCTATAGACAGGAACGACTTTTTTCCGCTCTCCATACTGGCACCACAACCTTGGATGAACATGGACAGCAGAGAACTAATGCTGGGAACTACTTTGAACGAGGCTACGATGTTTCTAAGATTAATGCAGGATGAATTACATGAACTGCTGGGCATGTTGAAATCTCGATACCGGATGGTCTGCATCATAGTCATGGCTCAGGCATTGAACCTGAATGTTTCAAAGTAGAAGGAGATTGTACGGGCCTACTTCGGCCCCGACGATGAAGAGCACAGTTTTACCGAGATCCAGGCCACTCTTCCTAAAATGTCAGGTGATGACTGCCCACTGCAAGTTTTAGCGGTCAGCGCTTCGTGGCAGGGATTGAAGACGTACAGTTACCTTTTCGGTCGCCGACCTTCGTACAGTGTTTATTACGAGTGGATGGGTGTGACGCATAGTGAGGACATATTTTACACAATGGGGTCTCTGCCGTTCATCGATGATCACAGCCGTTTTACCGATGTGGTGGGTATGGACGTGAGATAAATTATGGCATCCAAGGACTATACACCGAAAGAGGAAGCGCGTATAAAAGAAGCCGTCGCTGCATGGGGTTCGTTCGTTAAAACAGGACAAGTACATCTACTTCCTTTACATAAAGACTACATTTAGAAACACCTAAATATTGTCAAAGTTAATTTTTCAAAAAAGCTACTTGCGGCACAAAGCTCATAGTGAAAGGAACGTGTAGCACATTAAGTCAGCCATGGTGTAATCTGAAGTGGTTGAATTTGTGACCAAGCTGAGAATGAGGGCGCCCTTTTGTAATGTAGTATACCGCTTTGTTTGTACTTCCTTCTAGAAGATCAGAAACATAGAAGTTCTAGAAAATGCAGATATTGTCGAGATATATGTATACCCTGGAGACAGACCGTAAATAAGTCATTCGAATGACAAATTTGACAATACTTCACGAATGTTTGAACTTCAAAATCAATGGCTGGAGAACAACAAAGCAGATAGAGTTGCGAGGACTAGTGGGCGCAGAGGTGAGTTATGAGAATAGTGACAGATAATGATAGTGCAATACGGCACATAATTCTGTGGCACATACCCACTGTGGTTCATACCTAATTCACTGTTATGTTTCTCTACAGAGAATGTGTAACACATTCAATTAAGCGAAACGTAACAGCACATCTATATATTCTGCTACCAGAAAAACGTTCTTGTTGATCCTCTTCGGACTGCGCGTGTTAAATGCGAAACAGCTATGTTCAAAGGTGAAAGGAAACGAATCCATGCCTTCAGATCCATCATAAGTCTCCTCTAAGTGTGACATAAAAATGATGAAAATTATTCCTACTTGCACCCAAGTTCAAGCTCCGCTACACAAGTTTACACTGGTTTAGCTCACTATAGCAATCACCAGATTATCATGCTCGAAATTTCAGGTATTAGTCAAGAAGTGACATGGATGGTTGCATGCGACCGATCAGTAAAGTTACTCGCATTCGTTCCCAAAACTAAATACTAGAATGCTTTTTAAATTGGCCTAACAATGCCAGATTGCCAATCGTAAAACATAAAAACAGCAAATGAAAAACGAATGCTGCATCCCTTTAACATGTGCTTTCTGGCGTATATCGTTTTTTTATATATAGTATTTTATTAACTATTTGGACTTTATTGCAATTTCCTGCTCTGAAAATAGGAGAAGCCGGTAATTTCAAAGGCGTGTTTTTAAAGAATTTAAATATAAGTCCTCTCTGTATTGCTAGTAATCTCTGACTTCCTTTTGGAAAATTCCCCTGGTTACAAATCCGCTACCTCTACGTAAATTGTAGCTATTTGGACAAGTTCCTACTGCTTGTATGTCTCTAGGGAAGATAACTTGGAAATGAAAATGCTCTGCGCATGTAGAATGCATGCTAAGGTTGGTACAATACTATAAAATGCTTCCATGCATAAATTAGGCCTGATATTTTCAATTCGACGCAGCGCTCATGGTCACTGCACACAGTCGTTGTCGCCTATGCTCACAATTTTTCTTCGATAGTAACGTTGTGGTGTAGCCTACTGTTCCCGTGCCCAAATAAACATCAACGTATTGCTTCCACCCGTACTGTGCATTATCTATGGTTTATGTAAAAATGAACAAGATAATAACCGTGACATAAAGGTAATCAAGCAATATTCTATGTTAGGTAAAAATAAAGTAATTGATAAAACAAATTGAAAACTAGAAATAAAGTTGGCTTAGATTTATACTG